CTACTCCTACCACTACCACTACCACTACCCCTTCCCCTACCCCTACCTCCTACCACTACCACTACCCCTACCACTACCTACTACCTACCACTACCTACCACTGGGTCATGCCAGGTCACAGAATAATTGGATCCGGCAATAAGTATTTTTAAAAAATCATATTTTAAAGTGCTTCTAGCACTGCTCCTATTCGTGCAATTCCATTACCCTTAATCGATTTTGTCGGAAATGGCGCTTTGTGACAAATGTGGCGCATTGCGGCAAACGCGGTGTATTTTCACCGGGTGATTTAGCATGCGTTTTTGCACCAAATTGCACCCATATGGGACCATATTTGACAACACTGTGCGATTTACGGCAAAAAATGACGCCCTCAGACAAATGTGACGCATTGTGGCAAACGCTGTGCATTTGTTAACTTGTATCACAAACTGTTCCCATTGAACGAAAATCAATACATTCCTGGGCCACTATTTATCAAAATCAATAACTTGCCTATCCGCCAATGCGAGGCACCCGCCGCCGATCGGCATGCATTTAGTTCACAAAGGTCGTCGACCCGGCTCTCAATGAAGAACTAAGAACCGATCAAAATTTCATCGGCGTTCTTCCAGCGCGCGCCACGTGCCAACCGTGCATCCCAGCGAGTGGAAACCTAGACAAGGCGCTGACCCGTTCTGCCACCTAGAAGGTGTGCAAATTTCAACCTCCTACCCCGTTCCGTCTGCCCTGTAGCCGTAACAAATTGAACCCACTACACGGCGTGGCGGACACACACACACGCACTCACACACAGACGGATTCTGTTGCTTTAGTAAGTCAGATGGGCGGCTGCGCCACTTGCTTTGCTGCGTGGTAGGAAACAAATTGCGGCGCCAGCCAATTTGCTTTCGAATGGTGTTTGATTTACGTCGATGTGTCGTCTAGAAGCAGAGATATGAACGGAAATGTGAAGAGAACATTTTGAAAAAAACTGTTCTGAGGGCTTTGTTGGGTGAAACTTGGGTGATACGGGGTCAAGACGGGTCAAGGGGGTCAGCCCCGGTCACATTGGGTCAGGCCAGGTCACATAGGTCACCTCCTGTCAGATGGGATCAGCCTGGGCCACACTTTTACGTTTGCCTCCACCACTACCCCCTACCACTACCACTTAAACTACCACTACCCCTACCACTACCCCTACCACTACCACTACCCTTACCCCTACCCCTACCCCTACCACTACCTCTACCCCTACCACTACCACTACCCCTACTCATACCCCTACCCTTACCCCTAACACTACCCCTACCCCTACCCCTACCACTACCCCTACTACCAGTAAAACGCCTTTTGGGCGAAGGACGAGCGAGCGAGATAGTGAGCCCTGCACGTGCAGAAGGGCGAGAGGGTGCTTCCAACGGGCATGCGCAAAGCACCCTTCTAACTGGTCGCTAGCGGTGTGCCAAATTTGAACGCAATCGGTCCAGCCGTTCCTGAGATCTGGAAGCGGCATTCTGCACGTGCGCACGTGCAAACGGGGCCCAAAATGACTTTTGCACGGCACCCTACTAACTGGTCCCCAACCGTGTACCAAATTTGAGCGCAATCGGCCCAGCCGTTCTCGAGATCTGGAAACGCCCCCTGCACGTGCGCATGTGCAGTAGCACCCTAACCGCAACACATGAGAATGCATTGCCTGGTGGGTGCCTACCTGTATGCCAAGTTTCAGCGAAATCGCCCCAGTAATTACCGAGTTACTGAAATGGGAACAAATTTGGCACCTCTTATTGTTGTATTTTGCACGTGCACTGGGGGTGACCCACATGCATCGAGAGTATCCTATTTTGGGTAGAAGGGATGCTGCTACCCTATAAAAATTACCGCAAGTCAATCGCCCAAGCGGCTGCTGAGATATGAGCCTCTCAAAATCACTTCTTTTGCAAAACAGCTTGAACACCCTTGACTTTTCACGTGGCACGTGCCACGACGGTCACTGAGATGTATCAAAAGTAGTCAATTACGGGGTAGAAGGGATGGGGCTACCCAACAAAAAAGATCGCAGGCCAATCGGTCCAGCGGTTGCTGAGATATAAGCCTCTCAAAAGCGTTACAGGCCGGGCCGGGCCGGGCCGGGCCGCTCATACTGAGATTTTTCCGTTATCTATATTACCAGTAAAACGCCTTTTGGGCGAAGAACGAGCGAGCGAGATTGTGAGCCCTGCACGTGCGGAAGGGCGAGAGGGTACTTCCAACGGGCTTGCGCAAAGCACCCTTCTAACCGGTCTCTAGCGGTGTACCAAATTTGAACGCAATCGGCCCAGCCGTTCCTGAGATCTGGAAGCGGCATTCTGCACGTGCGCACGTGCAAACGGGGTCCAAACTGACTTTTGCACGGCACCCTACTAACTGGTCCCCAACCGTGTACCAAATTTGAGCGCAATCGGCCCAGCCGTTCTCGAGATCTGGAAGCGCCCCCTGCACGTGCGCACGTGCAGTAGCACCTTAACCGCAACACATGGGAATGCATTGCCTGGTGGGTGCCTACCTGTATGCCAAGTTTCAGCGAAATCGCCCCAGTAATTACCGAGTTATTAAAATGGGAACAAATTTGACACCTCTTATTGTTGTATTTTGCACGTGCACTGGGGGTGACCCACATGCATCGAGAGTATCCTATTTTTGGTAGAAGGGATGCTGCTGTCCTACAAAAATTACCGCAAGTCAATTGCCCAAGCGGCTGCTGAGATATGAGCCTCTCAAAATTACTACTTTTGCAAAACAGCTTGAACACCCTTGACTTTTCACGTGGCACGTGCCACGACGGTCACTGAGTTGTATCAAAAGTAGTCAATTACGGGGTAGAAGGGATGGGGCTACCCAGCAAAAAAGACCGCAGGTCAATCGGTCCAGCGGTTGCTGAGATATAAGCCTCTCAAAAGCGTTACAGGCCGGGCCGGGCCGGGCCGGGCCGGGCCGGGCCGGGCCGCTCATACTGAGATTTTCCCGTTATATTGAAAAGACTCACTTCGCTCGCTGCGCTCGCTCGCTCGTAACCAGTAAAACGCCTTTTGGGCGAAGAACGAGCGAGCGAGATAGTGAGCCCTGCACGTGCGGAGGGGTAAGAGGGTACTTCCAACGGGCTTGTGCAAAGCACCCTTCTAACCGGTCGCTAGCGGTGTGCCAAATTTGAACGCAATCGGCCCAGCCGTTCCTGAGATCTGGAAGCGGCATTCTGCACGTGCGCACGTGCAAAAGGGGTCCAAAATGACTTTTGCACGGCACCCTACTAACCGGTCCCCAACCGTATACCAAATTTGAGCGCAATCGGCCCAGCCGTTCTCGAGATCTGGAAACGCCCCCTGCACGTGCGCACGTGCAGTAGCACCCTAACCGCAACACATGGGAATGCATTGCCTGGTGGGTGCCTACCTGTATGCCAAGGTTCAGCGAAATCGCCCCAGTAATTACCGAGTTACTGAAATGGGAACAAATTTGGCACCTCTTCTTTTTGTATTTTGCACGTGCAGTGGGGGTCACTCACATAGATCAAGAGTATCCGACCTTTGGTAGAAGGGATGCAGCTGCCAGCTACCCTATAAAAATTACCGCAAGACAATCGCTCAAGCCGCTGCAGAGATATGGGCCTCTCAAAATCATAACTTTTGCAAAACCGCTTGAACACCCTTGACTTTTCACGTGGCACGTGCCACGACGGTCACTGAGATGTATCAAAAGTAGTCAATTACGGGGTAGAAGGGATGGGGCTACCCAGCAAAAAAGACCGCAGGCCAATCGGTCCAGCGGTTGCTGAGATATAAGCCTCTCAAAAGCGTTACAGGCCGGGCTGGGCCGGGCCGGGCCGGGCCGCTCATACTGAGATTTTTCCGTTATATTGAAATGACTTCGCTTCGCTCGCTGCGCTCGCTCGCTCGTAACTACCCCTACCACTACCACTGGGTCATGTCAGGTCACAGACTAATTGGATCCAATAAGTACTAAAAATCATACTTTTAAAAGTGTTCCTTGCCCTGCTCCTATTCGTGCCATTCCATTACGCTTAATCATAGTTGTCGTAAATGGCGCATGGTAACAACTGTGGCGCATCTGTACCTGTTGTTTAAGCTGCATCCTGGCACCAAATTGTACCCGTATCGGACCATTTTTGACAAAATTGTGCGAGTTGCGGCAAAAATGACGCCCTGAGATAACTGTGGCGCATTGCGGCAAACTCAGTGCATTTTTATGCTTGTATAATAAACTGTTCCCATTGAGTGAAAGTCAACACATTCTTTCGCCACCATTTATCAAAATCAACAACTTGCCTATCCGCCAATGCGAGGCACCCGCCGCCGATCGGCATGCATTTAGTCCACAAAGTTCGTCGACCCCGGCTTTCAATGAAGATCTAAGAACCGATCAAAACTTCATTGACGTTCTTCCGGCGCGCGCCACGTGTCGACCGTGCACCCCAGCGAGTCGAAACCTAGAAAAGGCGCTGACCCGCTCTGTCACCTATAAGGTATGCAAATTTCAACCTCCTACGCCGTACCGTCTGCCCTGTAGGCTTGACAAATTGAACCCACTACACGGCGTACGGACAAACAAACAAACAAACAAACAAACAAACAAACAAACAAACAAACAAACAAACAAACAAACGGATTCTGTTTAGATAGTAAATGTAGGTTATAGTAAATAACTAAAACAGGCAAACGTGCATGTCAGTTTTATACTACATTTGGCAAGACATATTATAGGAAATGTCCCTCTAAAGTCTAAACGATGCAAAAATACGACTCTAGCAGTTGAAATATGTTTGTGCTGAAATACCACAGGTTCAAATAAAATGCCTGTAAATTGGTGAAATTAGGGTAGTCAATTTAGTTTCTCCTATTTATTTTGCATTAGAATCGCCCGAACATGACGTCACCATGACGCCATTTGCGGCAGACCGTCCGACGCCTGCAGTGGTAGCACATCCGTACGGTGTACATACGTACCAGTACACGTCCACTCACCCGCCAGAATACGTCAGGCTGGGCGTGGTGCGCAGACCCTTGCCCTTCATGCTCAGGTGGCGACTGCAGAAGCCGCGGCGCTGCGACTCCTTGTTGCAGCCCTCCTTGCTGCACAGTCGACGCCACTGCTTCCCGTTGAACTTTTTCCGGATGCCATTGGGCGTGGACACCACGTCGCCTTTGTTATATTTGTGCGGTGTGGCCGCGTTCGACCTGGCGACGACGCGCACGGGTCACGGGTCAGTGGGGTCACGGGTCACGGGTCACAGGTCAGTGGGGTCACCGCTCAGTCAAGTCGCGCTGGTGCACATATCCACGCATGGAATATTCGGATAGACGACATGCGTGTGCGGTGTGAACGGTCAGAATCATTGTCCACGACCAACGCAGCATTTACTGCAGCAAAAAGAGTACGGCCCCATAAAACAGAGGCCAGTTTTACCAATAGAAAAATAGCCGCCTGCCGGAATTTTTTGCCTAGAGACCGCTTCACATAGCGTAAACGGTAAAGCTCTATCCGCTTACGTGCCCAGCGCGTTTACGCTCCGTATGTATGTGAAGCGGTCTTTGGGCAAAAAATTCCGGCAGACGGCTGTTTTTCTGTTGGTAAAACTGGCCTCAGCGCACCTAAGCGCCATACTACGGTACCTACTACCTACTTACACACGAGCTGCATACTACGGTACATCCGAGCGTCACACTGCGGTGACTAAAAAAGAGCGCCTGCGGCGGGTCACGCACAGCGCTCCAGCGTGCATGCGGCCTGCCCGGCTGCCCTTTCCGGCCAGCCTGTTCCATGGGCGCTCCGGCGCCGAGCCCGTACCGCGGGCGCCCACATGGTGCGAGAAGCGCCGGCAGCCGGACGGCCGCCGGCCACGGCGCGTCGACCTCACCTGGGAGTGGCCGCCTGCGAGCGGGGCGTGCCCAGGCCGCCGTGATCTAGCAGACTGGAGCACGAGCCGCGCGAGTTCATGCTAGCCCGCTTCACCTGAACAGAGGCGCCCTGCGAGCCGGGAGTCAGGCTGAGGGCGCGGTCCACCGGCGCCAGACCTGCGACACACGTACAGACGCGGCTCAGCTGTCACGGTCACAACCGAGCAGGGCTGTCGCCAGCGAACCGGACCTAGGGTCGAGTACCAGTCCCCCGACTGTGGCGTCAAAAATTGGAGAATTTTGATTTATGATGCTTTCCCAGAATAATACATGACGTTAGAAAAATTCACATAAAAATAATTTCACATTTTTTATTTCATATCCGATACTTATCCCGCGCCGTGCTGGGGAGGGGGGGGGGAAGGGTGCGTTTTTACACCCCCTCAGGTTTTTCGCGAATATCGCCGTTTTTTGTACACCTGTTTTACATCTTTTCCGCACATGTTGCGAAAATTTCAGACCCCAGCCATTCAAGGTCAGGTCACCAGGGCCTCGTTTCATAAAGCTCTGCCGTGTTTTACACCTTTCCGTAATTCACACCCTTTCAAACAACGGAGCGCAAATGAAGCGGTTTCACAAAGCCACAACTGGAATTGTTTACACCTCCGTAACTAAGCACATTTGCGTAGTTGCTGTAATTTATCAAGCGTCCTACAAATTACAATTTCATGTCAACACTTATTTTTTACGAGAAATTATAAACAGTTAATGTTGAATTTTAACCTTAAAAATAGTTACATATATAAAAATCAAAATGTCTGTATGAAACGTGTCAGTCACGCTTGGCGGGCTATTGCTCCAGAACGGTGTGAGCTGCGGGGGTGGAATTTTGAACGTAATTCGGACGCGTGCATCTGTTTGTCGTATCAACTTTTCGAGGGGGTGCGTGCAGCGGTGTGCACGTGGCGGGCGCATCTTTACGGAATTTTGAGCCGCGGCCGGCGCCGATCAGACGGCACGCGCCTTAGGCTCAGTTTCTTCGCTTGCAAAACTGAGCGAAATCAGAGCCGGAAGGTCACTGACCTTTGGCAATGAATACCGGAACAGAGCACCGCCGGCCAAGAGGAGACGCCAACTTTATTCTGGCCATAACTCGGCCGCTACTGGGCCGATTTTAATCAAAATTGATTTGTTACGCCGCGCGTAATGCTGTCCCTCTTTACGCTGCGCGTAATGCTGTCCCTCTAGTTACATATATAAAAATCAAAATGTCTGTACGTAACGCGTCAGTCACGCTTGGCGCCCGTTGGCGGGCTATTGCTCCGGAACGGTGCGGGCTACGGAGGTGAAATTTTCGACGCAAGTCGGACGCGTGCATCTGTTTGTCGTATTAAATTTTGGTGGGGGTGCGCTCGGCGGTTTGCACGTGGCGGGCGCATCTTTGCAGCATTTTGGGTCGCGGCCGGCGCCGAGCAGACGGCACGTGCCGTAGGCTCTGTTTCTTCGCTTTCAAAACTGAGAGAAATCAGAGCCGGAAGGTCACTGACCTTTGGCAATGAATACCGGAACAGAGCACCGCCGGCCAAGAAGAGTCGCCAAATTTATTCTGGCAATAACTCGGCCGCTACTGGGCCGATTTTATTGAAACTTGATTTATTACGCTGCACGTAATGTTGTCCTTCTTTACGCTGCGCGTAATGCTGTCCCTCTAGTTATTTATAAAAAACAAAATTGATATTGATGGCCATCCTTTATTAAATCAATATATTGAAAACAGCAGAAAGCCAGCTAAGCAGAAGTGCCTAACTACGAAAATGTCGCGGCGCGGCGAATAAACAAAATTCCGATAGTGGCCACAAAAAGCGACTGGTACAGAAGATTTGCAGTTTCTTTTTCTCATTTGGGCTGTTCTTTCTTCCTCACCGGGCTCAACATTATAAACTATATTAAAAATTAGCTTCGAATCTTCACATTAATTCAAATTCACGCAACATTTTTGTGCGTAGTTTACACCACTCATATCAAGAACTTGATAAAATATTTGGCGTTAATTACGTCGTTTTATGAAACTCAAATGGCATCAATTGGTCCGGAATCGAGAATTTGCCGTAAATGAAGCTCCGTAATTTCGATGGCGTGAATTACTCCGGTCTCCGGCTTTATGAAACCGAATTGGCATCAAATACGCCAAATCTGGCATAATTGACGGAACGCCGTAAGTAATTCCTTTTATGAAACGAGGCCCAGGTCACATCAAGTGACCTTACCTCAGAAAAAGTACGAAGGCTCGCTGTAGCTACACCGACTGAGGGATCACTTTGAAACTTTCAGTGTTTGATTTGGGTCAGTAGCCGTTTTCACGACGGCCATCTGGTACACATTTGGTGCACATCTGGTACAAGATCAGGTGCAGATTTGGTCAAATCAGGTTCAGTGTGTCTCTTAGCAGCTATCAGCTAGGGTTGCACTAATTGCTTATATGCCTGCTTTGTCATATTATCAGAAAGCATCATCGATTAAAACACTGAAATAAATTTATAAAATGAAGATATTTACTGTAAAAGATATTAGGTGCAGATTTGGTCAAATCAGGTGCACTCGCCGGATAGACCGTCGTGAATACGGCTAGTATGTATAAAATATGTTTCTCCGTTCTTTTATTTCTGTGTCCTAAGGTCAGAGGCCACTTTAACCAACAGAAAAATAGCCGCCTGCCGGATTTTTTTTTTGTCTTAACCCTATTCCTGGCGGGGGGCCTCAGGAGCCCCCCCCCCCTGAGGTTTTTTGGCTATTTCTCCCAAACGCGTTGAGCTAGGAAGCTCAAATTTTCTGACTTTTCCTAAAAGGCTTCTACGCAGCATGTCTGAAAATTTTGAGTTGATCTGACCTCAGATCAGGTCACCAGAGGCGGTTTGGTGACCCTACCCCAGAAAAGTTTGCAATCACGCCAGAGCTAGAGTTTTTGACCGATCAATTTCTTCTCTTCAGGCTTTAGTTAGGGTACCAGTATGTGCAATTTGTATATCTCGTAATTTTGATATCGGTGACCTAAGGTCAGGTCAGTTTTGCGACCTCCCCATTATAAGTCAATGGGGGAAAAATCAACTCCCTGTTTTTACCACTAAAACGGGTCGGAATGGCCCCATATACCATACATGACTTCATATACGATCAACCTTCACTACCTTGAGGTCTGTTTTGCTGTTGGGCAGCTGTGAGGTCATGTGACGTCATCAAAGGTCACCAAAGGTTTTTGGCCAATAACTCCGTACAGGAACAAGATACAGACGCGTGGATGGTCTCATTGTGTTCAGCTCGTCAAGACGCATCGAATGATATACATGATGACCTCGAGGTCACGTGACCTGAGGTCAACCTTTGACCTTGACCTTTGGAGGTCAACATATATATCATTCGATGCGGATTGACGAGAGGATCACGATGATGCCCTTAGTTTGTTCCTATCTTGACTAATTCGAAAGTTATTCGAGAAAAACTCTCCATATCTAGCGCCGCCATTTTGACTTTTTCGACCCCTGTGACGTCATCTTTGACCTGACCTGAAAATGACCTTAGTAAAAATTGTAGATCTTGACCGTGCGTATCCGATGCCGTTTACCGTTTGTCGCTGCGATGTGTAGTTTTTGAGATCTGAGGGGGCCCCCCCCCGCCAGTTTCTTGTCCCGGCGGAGCCCGCCAGGAATAGGGTTAAGACTGCTTCACATACGGAACGTAAACGGTAAAGCCCTATCCGCTTACGTGCCCATCGCGTTTACGCTCAATATGTGAAGCGGTCTTAAGGCAAAAAATTCCGGCAGGGATTGGTCAGCTGACTGCGCTGTGAAAGGTGGGGGCCTGGAGCTCCGAGTGAAAATCGGTGTTTGAGGTGGAAAGACTGAGTGGAGCAGAAGGAAAACATGGTGAGCGACATTGTGAAAGGTACCGGGTTTTGAAAAAGCTCATCTTTTGCGCCTTCTATAAAGTGCAACCTGCCAAAAAAGATATCAAAGTTACCCACCGTGTGCGCTGCTTTTGTCTCATCCGAGTATAAACAGCTGGGTCACGACAGGTTAGAGCGACGGTGGCGCTATCTGTCAGTAGTCTCTGAAAGCACAAGTACCGAGCAAGATGGGTAGGCAAAAGCGGAAAAACAACAGTCCATTGCAAAAGGATGACGGTAAAAATCCACGCACATCCGAAATGGAAACCGAAGAGGAAGAGAGTTCGTGCAGTCAGAGATACGAAGTCAGAGCTGAAAGAGAAATGTCTGAACTAAAGGAGTTCATTAGATCGGAAAATACGCGCAAAAGCAAATCATTAGCGGAAGAAATCCGCCGCTATACCGATGAGAGAATGACGGCCCTGGAAAGCTCCCTCAGCTTCGCCCTGACCGCTAACGAGACTCTAGCTAAGCGTCTTAGCGAGGCGGAGCTGCGACTTGCGAGCGCAGCGAGCAGAGGTCGAGCTGTTCCAGTGTGCCAAACGTCTATCAGCTGTGGAGGAACAAGTGGATGACATGCTGCAAAGAGAGCGTCACGCTTGGCTCCTCTTCAGCGGGCCGGCAGTTACTCAAGCAATGAACGCTGGCCGCAACAGTAATGAGAGGCAACTCCTGAGGAACGTGCTAGAGAAGCACATGGGATATGAACTGGATGAAAATGAAGTTGGTGAGATACACCGTGAGCAGCGACAGCTCAGAGTACGGTTTAACACCGTGACCGCTGGATCTGCACGCTACTTCCTTGTCCGAAACAAGACAAGACTGAGAGGAAGTGGTCTATATGTTGCAGGCACTTAAGAAAATCAGTCATTTTGTAAAATGCCTAGGCATTTTGCAAAATGCCTGATTTTCCAGGCTTTTTGCAAAAAGCCTAGGCATGACTCTCCAGTCATTTTGCAAAATGCCTAGGCATTTTACAAAATACCTAGCCATTTTACAAAATGACTGAGCAGCGTGTTGTAGATACGAGTACCTAATTATATACGTTTTGGTAGCGTGTAGGTGGACCGAGGAGTCCAGCATTATGACCAGAGGAGTCCAGCAGTGGAAAGTCCATACCTACCTCTCTCTATTTTGAGAAGTGCAGGCCCGCGACATTTCCAACCCCCACGTCAGCGACGCTGCTGGATTTAAAATGATCGATCTGGAGCGTCAACAAACGACTGGCCCTATGCCG